CCGGCTCCATCTCCAGCCCCATCTCCGGCTCCATCGCCGGCTCCTCGGCGGCCAGGAATGTGGTGCGCAGCTCCAGCATCAGCGGGGAGATGTACAGCCTGGAGAAGAGCGCGCGGGGCAGCGCCGACTCCGTCTCCGTCACCGCCAGCAAGAAGAGACGCTCCAGCCTGGGCGCCAAGATGGTGGCGATCGTGGGGCTGTCCCAGTGGAGCAAGAGCACCCTGCAGCTCAACCAGACTGGTGAGAGCTCAGCCCCCCTGCCTGCTTTGTTTTCACCCCCCCCCCCAGCTCTGGCTGCCCCGTGTGTGACGAGACCCCTAAAAAAGCCGCCCCCAAAAAAAGCCCTTTTTAACCCCCCGCCCACCCCCGGCGCTTCTCCCGGTGCCGAACCCGTTGGCAAACCCCAGGTGGGGATTTGGGGGATTTTGGAGGTCAAGGCAGTGGTCTGGGATGGGGCCAGCACTTGAGCTTGGCAGGTCTCAGCAGAGGGGGGGTGCCTGGGGTGCAGGGGGGAGATGGTTGAGGTGCAAGGGGGAGTGTCTGGGGCCCAGGGGGGTACCTGGGGTGCTGGGGGGAGCTCTACCCGTGCTGGGGGTCCTGGCCTGAGTGTCCCCCTCCCCACTTACACCCAGCCCTGGCTGTGGGCAGGGAGGGAGCTCAGAGAAAGGACTTTGTCAAACGCTCTGGCTCTGGGAAATATTGAAATGGCTTAAAATAGCTGTTTGAGGGGCGGGGGAAGCACAAAGCTCATTTTAGTGCAGGCTTTTCCTCTAGTTACTGCTTCTTTATCCTGCTGCTTGTTGGCATCCCATGATCTGGGAAATGCTCTGTAAGGAGGAGTTAATGCAGAGCCCTCCAGCCATCCGAAGTGGGTTTAATTATCCCCAAAAGCCAAGCAAAAAGTGTGGGAGCCACGGAACGGGGAATGGCAGGACGGGACCCTCCGGCTGCCAGTGCCCGGGGGGAGCTGCCAGGGCCGGGCAAACCCTTCCATGGGGACAGCCCGGAGTCAGCAGGACAAACCTGGCTCCTCCAGAGCGGTGCCAGCACACACATGGTCACACAGCAGGAGCCAGGGGCAATGCCAGGGGTGGCTGCTCGTGCCACCCTCCTCCTCCTGCCATCTGCCACCGCCTGGGACACGGGGAGTGTGGAGAAAGGGGGACATTGAGGTCAGTCAGGGCTGTGCCCACTTGTGGCACTGGGGGTTCCTGTCCCCTCTGGCACTGGGACATGGGCACATGGGGAATTTGGAGGTCAAGGCAGTGGTCTGGGAGGGTGCCAGCACTTGAGCTTGGCAGGTCTCAGCAGAGGGGGGATGTCTGGGGTGCAGGGAGGAGATGGTTGAGGTGCAAGGGGGGGTGTCTGGGGCCCAGGGGGGTACCTGGGGTGCAGGGGGTGTTCTCAGCCATACAAAGCCCTGGTGATGTCGGTGCTGAGGGCTGTGGGAGGTGGATTTGGGACACGGGGTCACGGGCAGCCCGTGGCTCTCCAGCACCAGGACGTGTGGGGGTCCTGTGGGAACTCGTCCCCAGGGAAGGGCACAGAACTCCCGGTGGGTGATGTGCAGAAGGAAGGCAGGGAGGGGCAGGTGCCAGGGCTCACCTCCTGCCTCCCCTTCCAGAGGGGGGCCCCAAAAAGCTGCGCAGCACCATCCGGAGGAGCACCGAGACCGGCATCGCCGTGGAGATGAGGACCAGGGTGACCCGGCAGGGCAGCCGGGAATCCACCGACGGCAGCACCAACAGCAACAGCTCGGACGGCACGTAAGGCACCGGGGGGGGCGAGGGGAGCGGGGCTGGGCACCCTCCCGGGGCGCCGGGGCTCGCCGGGGACCGGCAGCCGGACGATGCTCCATCCAAGTCCTTTGCAGGTTCATCTTCCCCACGACCCGGTTCGGCGCCGAGAGCCAGTTCAGCGACTTCCTGGACGGGCTGGGGCCGGGGCAGCTGGTGGGGCGGCAGACGCTGGCAACCCCCCCGATGGGTGAGTGCCCGGGCAGGGGGGGTCCCCACCGGGGCGGGGGCAGCGCCCGGGGAGGCTCCGGCCTCCGGGAAAGTGCCCGTGCGCTTCTCCGCGGGGCACCGGGCACGGGCTCCATCCCGGCACATCCCGGGGGATGCTCGGCCCTTCCCCGGCCGCTCCCGCTGCCGGCCCCGCGCGGGGAGGGAGCCTGCAGGGCTCAGGGCAGGGCACGGCGGCTCTGCCCTTTCCCGGGGCTTCCTCTGCCCCTCCGAGCATCCCGCTGCGAAGGGGAACCACAGCAACCGCCTCTTGTTCCATTTCTCCCTTTTTAAATCCCACCCGGGGATCCAGGAGATGTCCACGTGGGCATGACTGACCGGAACGGGCAGCTGGAGGTGGATGTGATCCAGGCACGGGGACTTATCCCAAAGATGGGCTCCAAGTGCATCCCTGGTAGGTGGCTGGGGAGGGAGGGGGTTGGGGGTGGAGGGGGATGGACACCGTGCTGGGATCATCCCAGGATCCTGCTCTGGGTCACTGTTCCCTCCCGTTTCCCTGGGCAGCCACCTACGTGAAGGTTTACCTGCTGGAGAACGGCGTCTGCCTGGCCAAGAAGAAGACCAAGGTGGTGAAGAAAAGCTGTGACCCGTCGTACCAGCAGCCTCTGCTCTTCGAGGAGAGTCCCCAGGGCAAAGTCCTGCAGGTGACGATCCCCTGGCGCTCCCGGACTCCGAGGGATCGGTTGGGAGGGATCTTAAAGCCCATCCAGTGCCACCCCCTGACACCTCCCGCTGTCCCAGGTTGCTCCAAGCTGGCCTTGGACACTCCCAGGGATCCAGGGGCAGCCACAGCTTCTCTGGGAAACTGTGCCACCCTCCCAGGATGAGGGGAGCCAGCACAGGGCACGGAGCCCCATTGCCCACCCTGCTGTCCTCCAGACCTTCCCTCCCCGCTCACAGCAGGTCCCCTCCCTCCGGGCGCGCTGAGTTTGCCGTGTTTTCCCCGGAATTCCCACCTGGCAGCTCCATAAATCCCCCGTCTGTGCCCGCAGGTGATCGTCTGGGGCGACTATGGGCGCATGGACCACAAGTGCTTCATGGGGATGGCCCAGATCATCCTGGAGGAGCTGGATCTCTCCAGCACCGTCGCGGGCTGGTACAAACTCTTCCCCACGTCCTCGCTGGCCGACTCCAGCATCGGACCTCTGACCCGCCGCCTCTCCCAGTCCTCCCTGGAGAGCTCCACCAGCCCCTCCTGCCCGTAGGGGGGCAGGTCAGTGGGAGAGGGGAGGGGGAAGGAGACGCCCTGACCTACCCAAACTGGGCGTGGAGAGCTGTAAATATCCTTCTTTTTTTTTTTTTTTTTTTTTTTTTTTTTTTTTTTTTTTTTTTTTTTTTTTTTTTTTTT